CCCTAAACCCCTAAACCCCTAGACCCCTAAAACCCCTAGACCCCTCAACCACTTAACCCCTCAACCCCTAAACCCCTGGCCCTAAACCCTAAACCCCTAAACCCCTAAACCCCTAACCCCTCAACCACTAAACCCCTCAACCCCTAAACCCTAAACCCCTAAACCCCTACACCCTTACCCCCTAAACCCCTAAAGCCTAAACCCCTAAACCCTAAACCCTACTTGGAGGCCCCTTTGACTTAGTAAGTCTACTTAGTATCCCCTAGAAACCCTCTTATAATCCCCATAACCCACCTTACTAACCCTACTTACTAAGTCAAAAGGGCCTCCAAGTAAACCCCCTAAGATGGAAGCCATGATCCGAGCTCGGAGCCTCTCGCTTCGGAGCCGGCGGTGTGTCGTGACGATGCCGGCCGCTCTTGTCAGCTATCACCTGGATGGCCTCTCGGCTTTAAGGCTTGAGGTTTAGGGTTTAGGGTTTAGGGTTTAGGGTTTAGGGTTTAGGGTTTAGGGTTTAGGGTCTAGGGTCTAGGGTCTAGGGTCTAGGGTTTGGTGGGGTGGTGATCGACGGCTTAGAGTTTAACGTTTAAAGATTAGGGCTTCGGAGGGTTTCAGGGCTGTGTTTGAAGGGGTTCGATGATGTAAGGTCGAGGAATTTGGTTCGTGGTTCAGATGTGAGGTGGGCAGGGGCCCAAACCCTAAACCCTAAAACCCTAAACCCTGACCCCTACACCCTGAACCCTAAAACCCTAAAACCCTAAACCCTAAACCCTAAACCCTAAACCCTAGGAAAGTATGGAGAACCCGAACCGATGGATGCACCCTGGGGGTTTAGGATTCAGGCTTTAGGTCTTAGGGTTTAGGGTTTAGGGATTATGTCGGATTTTAGGGTTTAGGACTATGTAGGATTTTAGGGTTTAGGGTTTAGGGGCTATGTCGGATTTTAGGGTTTAGGGTTTAGGGATTATGTAGGATGTTAGGGTTTAGGATTTTAGGTTTATAGGGTTACTTAGGGTTCAGGGTGCTCGAAGGATGATAGGAGTTAGCAGCTTTAGGCTTATTGATGAGGTAGGGTTTAGGGTTTAGGGTTTAGGGTTTAGGGACCCTTAACAGGGACCCTTGTGATTGTAGGTTATTGGGGGTTAGAAAGGAGACTACCTGGCTATATAAGCGGTATATATAAGGACCATACAATGGCTATTTAAGGTAATGGGATTGAGGGTCCGTTTTAGGGGTCCCTCCTAAAGTCCTTAGAACCTCTACTTATAATATCCTATAGTACGTATGATCCTAGTTGAGGTACTTATAACCTTATCTACTAAGTCCCATGATCCTCCAAGTGCAGTGTGTAGGGTCACAGCCGACCAAACCCTCCGAGGTTACGCCTTTCCTCTGCCACTGCTCCCGGAGTCCAGCGCGGACTTCCGGGCGACGTACATGCCCAAGTACGAAAGCTTTCGGAGATACTGTGAAGAAAAGCAGCTATGGTCCGAGTCTCAGAGGAATTGTTGAGCATGTCCCCTTAAAGCAAGCAAAGGGTGTTTAGGGTTAGGATCCTTTGGGGTTTAGTACCCCAAACCCTAAACCCTAAACCCTAAACCCTAAACCCTAAACCTAAAACCCTAAACCCTAAACTACCCTAAACCCTTTAAGGTTGGGAGGGTCTGTTATCCCCAGCACTGCACTAAGGTCCGAGTACCGTTTCAAGTCCCACGTCTTCTTGCCCTGGCTTCATAATCTGCTGGTGACCTAGGCCCCTTTGGTAGAGCGTTTCTTTGTTTTTGGGGCAGGGGACAGTTTAAGGGTTTAGGGTTTTAAACCCTAAACCCTAAACCCTAAACCCTAAACCCTAAAGTCTGAGCCAAAGTAGGAAGAAGAGGATGCTGTTTCAGGGGAAGTTCCTGCAGACCCACCCTGCAGGAACCAGTTTAACATCCCAATCTTTCTGCACCCTTGTTAGACCCTGGGTAACTATTTCGGGAGGTTCCTTATTATGATTATAGTATAATGGTCCCCAAAACCCTATTCTAACATATTTTAAGCCTGCATTACCCTGAAAAGGCTTGTGCAGGAAGTCCCTGAACAAGTCCGTGAGGTGAAGAACGAACGACTCCAGGAGATGTCAAGGGAGCTCCTGTGCACAGATCACACCGTAACCGGGCTCAGGCTGAAAAGCTCCAGCATTTTTGGCGTTTCTAGTGGTTCTGTAAGGGGGTACAAGGCATCATCGAGTTTTAGGGTGTAGGGTTTGGGGTTGCGCGACTTTAGGATTGCGATTTAGGATGTAAGGCTTCTGTGCATTTTTGTTTCGTCTGGCGGCGGCCCAAAGACCGTACCAGAACACCGAGTTTAGTAAGGGATCCTTGAGGTCATATGGTCCACCGACTGGTGTGTGAAGCCGCGGTCCTCGCCGCAGCACTTTACCTGGCACCAGGACTCCACGTACAGCAAGTTCGGCCTTAACGGCTGTACTCTCTGGCTGGCTTTCTCCCATGTAAAGGCATCCAGTGGCCCCATCTTGTATCGGAGGTTTTCCCAGAGAATGGGTCAGCTGAAGCACGTGGAGGATGCCAGTGACTCCTCGAACTTGTTGGCTTTTGGCCAGTACATACCAGAAGACGAACCCACGCCGCTGATCCTAGGCTGCCTTGATGAAATGTAGGAAGTAGGAAGGTTTGTGTTGCGTATAACACCGGTGCACCGCAGCCCTACACCTCAAACCCCAAACAGTAATTCGCCCTCTGCAGTGTCTATGAGGCCACTGTAAAGCACTTAAGTCCTATCCCCAGTATGGTGCCTTGAACTGCCCTAAACCCTAAACCCCCAAACCCCCTCAAAGATATCCCTTTTAAAAAAGCCCTGGATCCTAAACCCGAACCCTATCCTACGGATGAAGGCCCCTGTACACCCTAAACTACCCTAAACTCTAAACCCGAGACCCTAAACCCAAGACCCTTAAAAAAACAACCCTGAACCCTAAAGCCCATGTTTACGTAAGGACCAGCAGCCCTTTGAGCGCTGGGAAGAACTGGAGCCACCTTCCCGTGGTATCCGCCGCCGAGCTACATCCAGGCAGCCGGCCTTCTTAGGGTTTAGGGTTCAGGGATTAGGATTTTAGGGTTCAGGGTTTAGGGTTTTGGGGTTTCGGGTTTCGGGTTTTAGGGTTTAGGGTTTCAGGGTTTTTAGGTTTCATTTTTTTGGGGTGGCTTTACTGTTTAGGGTTCGAGGTCTAGTATGGTTTCAGACAGGCCGCTTTTAAAAGGGGATATCAGGGCCCTCAAACCACAAACCCCAAATCGTACAGTATCAGGATGTTGGCAGGGCTTTGTTTTGCAAAGTGCTTGAGAAAGACGGTCTTTTGGGATTTTGGCTGCAACGTTACCTGGCGCCGGCGATTCGCCGGGCCCGCGACGCAACAATGGGCGTTTGCACTTGGGTTTGACAGCTACTGTAGGAACGTGTATCATGAAGGCCTGTCGCGGTGACATTGAGTGAACTTGCCAAACAAGAACACAGAATCCCAAAAGCCCTTAGTACAAAAAGTCTACGCCTCGGAACGTGCCCTAAACCCTAAACCCTAAACCCTAAAGAAAAGCCAGGTGAGGCCACCGCGCACAGCTTCCTAACCATTCACAACAGCTGCACGGCTCCAATTTAGGCTTCAAAGGCCCTTGCTAAGTTGGCTTAGGGTTTAGGGTTTATAGGGTTTACAGGGTTTACAGGGTTTAACGTTGCGGGTTTAGAGTTTAGGGTGTAGGGTTTAGGGCCGCAGCCTCGCATGTCGAACGAAGTCCATGGGCCACAAGCCTTTAAGTCCTAACTCGAAAACTGTCCTCAAACCCTGAAAACACCAGGAACCCCAAGTAAACCCTAAACCCTAAACGCTAAACCCCAAGCCCTTGGCTCTTACGTCAACTCCCCATAAAGATCACTCCACAGAGTTCGAGAGAAGCCCAGAATATCCTACTCCCTCAGCGAGCTCCAAAAAGCATATGTTTTGGTTTTTGCGGTTTAGGGTATAGGGTTTAGGGTCTAGGGTTTAGGGGAAAGGGTTTAGGGTATAGGGTTTAGGGTTTAGCGGTTAGGGACAAATCTCAGGTCAGTCAAACCAAGACGATCTGGATCGCGTTGCCCTGGCGGTGCGTTTGGTGGCCGGCAGCGCAGGTCGTGGGCGCCTGGGTTCTTATCGCGATTAGGGTCTACCTTAAGAACCCAAAACCTACGTTTTCGTAGGTTCTTATTATAAACCCTAATATGGGATTTATAGGGTTTTTGTAGGTTTTGGGTTCTTAAGGTACAGACTAATAAACTCGGAACTCATTCCATACATCTTATAAGCGTAAGGTTTACATAGGGTTTAAAGCTCAGGGTGTTTCTCGGATTTAAAGCTTTACAGTGTTCTTGGGGTTCTTAGGTCTATGATACTGAAGGCTAAGGCTTCTTGCGTTCTTGGGGCTTTTCGGGGCTAAGGTTTTAGGGCCACTGCTTGGCCGGAGCTGATATCTCAAGTTGCCGCGAAGAGTCTTATGCGGTTTGTGAAGGACTTACAGTGTTTAGGGAGTTACAGTGAACACGATGCTTCCCCGTACTATAATCTTATCCCTGGAGTATGGTATCTGAAAGCCTAAATCTCTAAACCCTAAACTGCAAAGGCCTGAAGCTTCGAAGGCTTAAGGTCCCAAAAACGAATCCCAAAACAACCAAAACTCATTGCGCGACACACCTCGATCCCAGGCGCCGGGACCGCGCCACGCTGCTGTCTGGTCGGCCTGAAGAGGCTCAGAGGGGAGTGGGAGCTTTCAGTGGTTTAAGGGCTCAGTTTAGGGTTTAGGGTTTAGGGTTTAGGGGTCTAGGGTTTTTAGGGTTTCGGATGTTTAGGGTTTGTCGGGCATTTGGGGCTTTTAGGGTTTAGGGTTTAGGGTTCACCAACACCCTCCAACTGCCCCTGATCAGATCCTAAGGACCCAAGACCATGTCTGTGAGGGTTCACGGACTTTGATGTTTGAGCGGGGGTTTCCGGGATGCTCTAAACCCTAAACCCTAAAGTTGAAGGATGTGTGGTCTGGGTCTTTGGGGTTGTTAGGGTCTTCAAGGGGCTGTTGGGTTCAGGGTCCTGGGGCCGAGGGATGACCTTTAGCTTTAGGCCTTTGAAAGTTTCATAAGCCGCATAAGTTCGTCTAAGCTCCCAAATCTGAAGCCCCCAAACCCTAAACCCTAAACTTTGAGCCCTAAACCCTAAACCCTAATCCCAAAACCCTAAACCCTGAAGCCTAAACTTTGAGCCCTAAACCCTAAACCCAAAACCCTAACGCCTCAGCCCCGAAGCCCCGAAGACTGTCTTTGGAGGTGCATTTCGAGCTGGAGTCACCTCCTCAAGAGGAGCTGGCTTGCTCTTCTTACTATTAGCTGGGCTTTGGAGTACCATACTTTAATACTGTTTTTTGGGACCTGTTCCTTAAAGGAACCATTATAAAATAAAAGTCTATACTTTTTGCTCCCTGGTTACTTCAAAGCCCAGTTAGTGTGGCTGTCAAAATTTATGGTCCCTTTTTGGGTCCTTAATATAATACGGCACCTGTTATTTAGGGTACCCCCCAAAGGGACCATCATTTCGACAACTAATTATTCTTACTACTACCTAAGTATCTAAAACTATTATTTTTATATTTATTTCTATTAGTATTGATTAGTTTTTATTACCATTACAGAGGAGCTGGGAGAAAAGGAGCTGGCGGAGTGGCGGAAGTCCATGGATCGGGTGCCTCGAGGTCTTTAGGATTTGTCGATGGTGTTCTAGAGGGTCTCTACGGGGTTCTTGAAAGTCGAGAGTGATTTTTTTAATACCTTTTATGGCTTGCTTTTTGTTGGCTTTTTATGAGGTTGGTCTTAGCGCTTAAGGCTTAAGGGCTGGGTTCAGGGTCGCGTGGGCGCCGGGCTGTGGGCCTTTGACAATTTGGGTTTAGGGTTTAGGGTTTAGGGTTTGGGGTTTAGGGTTCAGAGTTGAGGGTTTGGGGCATGTAGTGAGGCTCGGAGATTTTAGGGGCATCCTGTGTTTTGCTGGCGAGGGGGCATGGGCATCTTCAAAATGTTGTACTGTGTTGCTGTTAAGGAACTGGGTTTAAGTTACCATAACGGGGGTTATCTAGCAAGTAGATGTACGTAACTTAATTTAGGTTCCTTTACAGCAACTTAGTGTCCCTAAACCCTAAACTTCCTAAACCCTAAACCGCCGCAAGGCAGGTGGCTGTGTCCTCCGAAGGCCGTAGCCCGACCCAGTGCCCGGAACCCCAAGCACCGGGCCCGAGACTTGGGAACACGCATTCTGGGCTTCTTCCCTGTTTTTACGTTAATCCGAACCTTGTTGAGACTTCTGATGTTTCTTACTCACTCCTCTTGTTCCCGGGAGCTCTCGGGGTTTAGGGTTTCGGCTCTAGGGTTAGAAGTAGGGCTGCGGCAGCCAAGGAGAAGGAGATGTACTTTGAGGGACACGACCAAACTGGCTACAAGTGACTTTGCCGATGGCCCCCTGCTTCTCACCCGGAGAATCGGATGTGTGTGTGATTGGGGCCTGAACACGTAGAAGAGGGTTGTGGGGTATGTAACTATATTCAAACAACTGTAATAAGGAGCCCTTGCTTGGGAACAATTTTGCTGGCTTTTAGTTGCAGCTTCTCGGCCCAAATTCGCAGATCGCTCGCCCAAATCCCGCCCCGTGTATGTACCCTAAACCC